TGGGGCTGCCTTGCGCTTGTTCGCGACACCTCCGCGGACAAGCTCTCGGCACGCGCCATTCCCTGTGTCTTCCTTGGTTTCCCAGTGGACTCTGCCGACTGGTCCTTTTATCACCCGCCCCTCCACCAGTTCCTAGACTCCCGTGACGTCCGGTTTGACGAGTCCGTGTCCTACTACACCCGGTACCCCTGTCGAGGTCTCCCGGTACCCCCTCCCCCTCTTTTCCTCGCACCCTCTCCTCCTCCTGCTCCCGCTCCTCCGGTACCCCCTTCCCCCCCTGGTCCCGCCCCGACTGGTGTGTCCCACGCTACCCCTCTACCCTCGGTCGCGCGTCAAGGTGCGTCTCCCTCCCCGCAGTCCTCCTCACAGCCCCCTCAGCAGCCTTCGGCGCTTCCGCGACAGGTTCCTGTGGACTCGGTTGGTGTTGGAGCTGGAGGTGCAGCCGCTGGCGGTGCGCGGTCTGGGGGTGTTCGTTTGCGGGGGGCTGGAGCGGGAGGGGCTGGTGCAGGTGGCGCTAGCTCTGGGGGTGCTGGAGCTGGAGGTGCTGGAGCTGGAGGTGCTGGCACTGGAGGTGCTAGTTCTGGGGGTGCTGGAGTTGGGGGTCCTAACACTGGAGGTGTTGGTTCTGGGGGTGCTGAGTCTGAGGAGACTAGAGCTGGAGACCCTGGTTCTGCGGAGTCCACTCCGCCTCCCCACCGCCACGACACGCGTCTCCAGGCTGCCCGTCGGCGTGAGCGTGAGGAGCAGGAGCGGTTGGAGCGGGAGCGGCAGGAGCTGCGGGTGCTGGACCTTCTGGAGCAGCAGCGGCAGCAGCAGCAGCAGCAGCAGTAGCAGCAGCAGCAGCAGCAGCAGCAGCAGCAGCAGCAGCAGCAGCCGCAGCAGCAGCAGCAGCTGCAGCCGCCGCCACAGCCGCCTCCGCAGCTTCCTATGGAGCGGCAGTTTTTCCCACCTGTGAGTAGCCTGCGGGCCCTTGGCCTTTCCTCCTCTCCTCCTGTCCGCTCTCGGTCTCCTCCTGTGTTTGTTCCTCCGTTGCCTCCTCCTGACGACCGTCCGGCGGTCTGGTCTTCTCCTCCTCCACAGTCTCCTCCTCCTTCTGTCCGTCGCGACTTAATCACCCGTTGTCCTCCGCGTGCTCGTCACTCGTCCCCTGTTACTGACCTCCACACTGCCCTCCTTTGTTCGTCTCACCGTCGTTCTCCTTCTCCTGTGTCCGTTCTCCCGTCTCCTCGTCCGTCCTCTCTCACAGCCCTCTCCACTCCTATCTCTGACTACTACCCCTCTGTTCGTCTTGTTGCCGCACGTGTCCTCGCCACTCTTGTCACCGACTCTCGTTTCCCTCCGTCCTCTGCCTCGGCTCTCACTGCCGTTGTCGCTGAGTTTGCTGCCGCCAGCCGCCTTGACTACGCCACCCGTGTGGTGCCAGCTCCTCCCTACCGTCCTCTGTTTGTCGGGGGTGGGTTTGCCCTTGGCTGTGACGTCCTAGAGGATAGAGAGTCTGAGCTGGAGTACTGGGCAGCCGCTTCTCCCTCTGTGTGTGCCATGCTGCTCTCCCCTGAGGGAGACCCCGATGCCCTTGACATACCGACTCCTCGCACTTACCGCGAGGCAGTGTCAGGGGCGTGGGCCTCTCAGTGGAAAGCGGCTATGGACTCAGAGTTGGCGTCTTGGAGATCCACAGGCACCTACGTCGACGCAGTTCCCCCTCCCAGGGCGAACGTAGTCGATGGCATGTGGCTCTTCAAGGTGAAGCGGCCGCCTGGAGCACCGCCGGTGTTCAAGGCGCGCTACGTGGCTAGGGGCTTCAGTCAGCGTGAGGGAGTTGACTTCTTCCAGACCTTCGCCCCGACCCCGAAGATGACTACTCTTCGGGTGCTACTGCACATAGCAGCGCAGCGAGACTACGAGCTGCACTCCCTCGACTTCTCCACTGCGTTCCTCCAGGGCCGACTGCACGAGGAGATCTGGCTGCGCCGTCCTCCTGGCTTCACTGACACCTTCCCACCTGGGACCCAGTGGAGCCTGAGGCGACCAGTCTACGGTCTCCGCCAGTCGCCCCGTGAGTGGCACGACACTCTTCGCTCCACGCTTCGTGACCTTGGGTTCAGCCCGTCCTCCGCCGACCCGTCGCTGTTTGTTCGAGCGGGTTCTACTCCTTTCTTTATCCTTGTCTACGTCGACGACTTGGTGTTTGCTACAGCAGACAGGGCAGCCCTGGCTCAGGTGAAGTTCGAACTGCAGAAGAGACACAAGTGCACTGACCTGGGTGAGCTGCAGCGCTACCTTGGCCTGCAGATCACCAGGGATAGAGCCGGTCGCACCATCACACTGATGCAGTCACACATGGTGCAGCAGGTCCTTCGGCGGTTCGACTTCCACCACACAGCCCACTCCTCTTGCTGTTGACCACCCACTCACTGGCCCCTTTCCTGACGAGCCGTTTGAGCCCAGTGGTCCCTACGCAGAGCTTGTGGGCTGTCTCATGTACCTGATGACTTGTACTCGGCCGGACCTCGCCTTTCTCCTCATCATCCTCTCTCGCTTTGTTGCGACTGGGAGACACCGTCCTGTCCACTGGACAGCTGCTGTGAGGGTGGCGAAGTACCTGGCGACTACATCAGGCATGGGGCTTGTGCTTGGAGGGACTCAGCCAGTGGCGTTGACTGGGCACTGCGACTCTTCCTACGCTGACGACGTGGAGACTCAGCGCTCGACTTAGGGTTACTGCTTCAGTCTGGGAGCTGGTGCTGTGTCGTGGAGGTCTACACGGTCGTCGTCTGTGGCTACTTCCAGTGCAGAGGCAGAGATCTACGCTGGTGCCATGGCGGCACAAGAGCTGCGTTGGTTGACCTTCTTGCTCGCCGACCTTGGTGAGCGGCCTCGCTCTGCACCGACCTTGTACGCTGACAACAAGGCCATGATCCTCCTGTGTCGAGAGCCTCATCTGGAGAGCAGAGTGAAGCATATTGACGTGAGGTACTTCTTCTTGCGAGAGCTGCAGCGACGCGGCCAGGCACGCCTGGACTTTGTGGCCTCAGAGGCCAACACTGCAGACGTCTTCACCAAGGCCTTGGCGCCTGGTGATCACCACAGGTTCTGTGTGCAGTTGGGGCTTGTTGAGGTAGGCCCTCGGTTGGTGTGGTCTTGTTGTTTGCTCTGCTTGTTGTGCTTCCTATTTATATCCTAGTGAACTCTTGAACTGGCCTTGTGGCCGCTTGCTTGTGCTCGGAATTTGTGTGGTGTCCTTGAGATCCACCCTGAGCTTGCCTTGTTTCTTGCTTTGACTGGTCTTGTGACCGTTCGTTCACCTTGCTTGCTTTGATGCCCCTCACTTAGCCTATGGGGGTGTGTCAAATGTAATTCTATGCTTGTAGGCTACAGTGAGTAGCACAATAGGGAGTACAATTGTTAGGGCTGCATATTTGTACTCTCACACTTTCTAGTCTCGCTCGTTCCGTTGCTAACCACTTTTGAGAAGTTTCTGCAGGAAAATTTATTCCCAAGCGTTTCAAGTCTCGGTGCACAACAAATTTACCTACTCAAGGGACTTCGACGCGATTTACCCTGGACGCAGTACGAGTCACAATTTCGACATTTCCGCCACCGCCTACATTTCGACAGGGCAGCTGCTAACCATTTCGACGGGGCACAGCACATTTAGTACTTCGGACTACACCCGGCGGCAGGGTTGTTGGAAATGTCTGCCCGCGCAGCTGTATTACACTTGGGATCTACACTTCTCTTGAAAGGGGGGAGAAAAGGCATTTTATTTCGCACTGTACTTGGCAGTTCTGACAGCCGCGTCAGACTCTGATAGCCTCATCGGCACCAACGGTATCTGATTTCATCGACTTCTGACAACGTGTCTGAACTCCCACCAACATCGACAGCGTCACAACCGTTCGATTCGTAATCACTTCATCAATTTTTTTCATTTCGTATCGTTTTAAAAACGATTGCACCGGTTTCATGTTCCTTCGCGATTTCAACTCGACTTTCGAATTTCAACCACCAGATCGACATCTGCAAAATCCGACGGCTGACATTCCAACCCTATTCATTTTCACGTGGTCAACTCGTCAGCCTCGCGTCAACTTGAAAGTCAACGGGCTTCTACACCGTCATATCAGTTTCGACCGAGATCTGCAGCTTTCACGCTACTGCAAGACTCGTCTTCGTATAACGGCGCCTTATTTAGAAGGTGGGAGAGTGTAATGAATATACATTCATTACTGTAGAGGCTGCTCCTAGCGAGGACAGCCCGAGCTCTTCGCGTCAGATTCCGGTTCGGCCTACATTTCGGACCGAACCAATTCCGAGTCGCCCCGCACCAATCGCGACGATCCCAAACCTCGCACGTCACGTGGTTCTCGCCTGGCACGTTTTCGACCCTATAAACGCATGCTTCTTTATCATTCTCGTCATTCTGTAATCACGTCTTCTTTATAAAGTCTTCCGCGCACTCTGTCTAGTAAAACTCATAACAATGTGCAACAACTAAAGATTTAACGCATCCTTATGTCGTCCTTTATTTACAACCCTAAGAGCGCATTTCCTTCGGGGTGAAATAGTTTCATAAAGAGTACAAAGGGATATGAAGAGATATACCTAACCGTTTTTTTGTGACATAAAGAGGATAAGGGAAAGAGGGAGAAGGAAAAAGAAACCAGAGCGTGTTACGTACCCCACTTTTTTGTGGCTGGTCGAAGCAACCGAGCGACGGTCAAGGCAACCGGCAAGGTTCACCGTACCTTACCGAGATGGGTCTAAAATGTAACGCAGAAAACCGAAGTTTTTTCAAAACTCAAAATTTGCCGGTCGACGCAACCGGCGCTGGCTAACGAGGTACGTAACACGCTCTAACGATCATGTCGCAAGCGGGGATTGGCGAACAGCTACCCCCATCCCCCCCACCCTCCCCAACCCCCCCATCCCCACCCACTCCTTTGTTCGTCCCTCCGCGGTGTTGTGTCGGGACAGAGAGGAGGGGGCAGATCGGTGGGATGGTTGAGGTTGAGTGAGGTGAAGAGACACTCTCCTGTCGATGAATCTTCATCTCCCCCCATTTCCCAGAGTTGCATCCAAGTACAATCATCGTTCTTTCCAATCCCCAAGCTCACGTGTCGTCATGTACATAGCCGGTTTCACGTCTCTACTCTCGGCGGCGGCGCAGTTGGGTCCCAGCGCAATTCGTCCGTTCCCTGTTTCCATTCTCCCACACAGCCAGAGTCTCACCCCACCCCACCCCACCTTACCCCACATTTATTCTTCGTCCTGAACAACAGCATAAAGTTCAATTCACATTCTGCAAATCAAGTCAGTTGCTGTTTTCGCATCTACTAGATGCTCTAGTAGGTCTAGACGCTCGCCCAGTCCTTCAGCTAGTACTTCTGCCCCATTGTGAAGCGACGTCATGGCTCGCCTCGTGCGTCTCTCCCTCGCGCTCCTCGCGCTGCTCGCCAATGCATCCGGCGTCAGCTACAGCCAGAGCGGCCTCGACTGGGGGGTGAGTGCAGCCGCGATTCAAGAGTCATGCTCCTCGCTCACACAAGACTGGCATATTGCTTTCGCGACGAGCGTCGTCGGCGCGCCGTATCCTGTTCCGAGCTCTTGGCTCTAGCCTCGTCAAATTCGACCCGCAACGACAAGTGACTAATCTCCAACCTTGCGCTTCGATCCCATTCTGTTCTTCTCTATGGCAGGGAGAGTGCCAGACGGGCGAGAAGCAGTCGCCGATCAACATCGTGATGGACGAGGCGAAGGAGGTCAGCGAGCCGGAGAAGTTCGTCCTGGAATATGATTCGTCCGCCACCACCGCCACCGTCCTCAACAAGGGATACACCGTTCGTAAGTCCTCGCTGCTTTTTTCTTTCTTTACAGCAGATTCTCCGTCTATTTTATTTCGGCCTCCTCTGTGTCTCAGTTTCTGATTTTGCCTTCGCGCGTCGCGTTTGGCAGAGGTGATTCCGAACAAGGACAAGGTCTACAAGCTGCACATCAATAGCGGCACTTACAACCTCCTGCAGGTAAGATATTCTCCTCGGGTCACCCTCTCACGAAGCAGCTTGCGCGGCATTGGCCCACTCCCACGTCCTCCCCTGGCTGCATTCACGCGCACTTCCTCGAGGCACGCGCCGATCGTTTGTATGTCTTCCATTTTTTAATCATTCTTCGATGCGTCCGTGCCTCCCATTCCCGATTTTAGGAGCCACGCTGCGCTAAACACGTCCTTGAGCCGCTTATTCCAACACTCTGAACCTCTTTTGTTCTGTCCTGGCTCCTTCCCTCGCGCTCCCCTACGTACGCGCACTCATTCTTGAAGCTCGCGGTAAACGCGATGCTAATCGACTCAGTCGAATACCCGATTCGCTCTCATTCTCTCTTCCCCTCTCTCGTCCAGATTCAGGTGCGCTCGTTCTCGAAGCAGAGTGAGGCCAAGACGATTCACTCCGTTCCTCATTCCTGTTTCGCATCCTCTTTCGTTTCCCCCTATCCCTCGGCCTCGGAGCACGCGGCGAACGGGAAGCTGACGGAGCACTCTTTTTCCAAGTCACCGCCTTCTCCCTTTTTCTCTCTCTGCGTTCTGATTTCTATATTTCCCCCTCGTCCAGGTGCACGTGAACTCAATTCACAGAGCACGCGGTGGTCGGGAGACCAAGAAACTCTCTCACTCCCCAATCTCCACTCGATTCTCCTCCCTCGCGAAGGTGCACGTGCACTCGTTCTCGGATCACGCGGTGACCGGGAGACCGTGAACTCACTCTTCCCAATTTCATTTCGATCCTTCTCCCTCGTCCAGGTGCACGTGCACTCGTTTTCGGAGCACGCGGTGAACGGGCTCTTCTTGCCCATGGAGGCGTACTTCGTGCACGTCAACGAGAACGACAACTCCTCCCTCGCCATCGTCGGTGTCATGATCCGCCTGCAACGCCACGACGAGGCGTCGTCCTGGATCGACACGTGAGTGCTAACTAAGAAACCAAATTTATCCTTTCCAGTCGTGTTTCTGTTCTAAAAATTATACTTCTCTTTTCCAGAACGCTACGCATCAGATGTACTTGTGCTCACAATTTCGACTGTCTTCCTGTCCCGCCGTCGTTTCTCCCAGCTGGCTGCCCCAAACTCCGGCTGATGTGAATGGCACGGCCACCATCGATCTTCCCAACAACTTCTGGGCTGACATGATGGACATGTCAATGGGCTTCTGGCGCTACCCTGGATCGCTCACCACCCCTGAGTGCAATGAGATCGTCGAGTGGCACGTCGTTCGCAAGGCCAAGTTCCTCTCCGTCGCTCAGGTACTGTAATCAATCCAACACTCCCTTCGGGCCTGAAGAAGGGCTGAGGGTAATAGATTGAACAAATTACCTGTCAAATTTTATGCCACACTATTGACATCTCCGCACTCCATGTACGTGAGCCGCATTCACAGGTGCGCCTTGCTTACAATTTCTAGATCTGGCCCAATTCTCTTTCGCTCGCCCTTGTGTTTGGCAGACCATCACGTTCATGAACATGCTCGCGAAGCTCAATACCGAGCGCATTGACAACCGCCTTCCCGAGCCCGTCAACGGCCGCATTGTTACCTACTACCCCTGGGTCTCGGGGATGTTCTGATTCACTTCAGTTTACTGAAGTAGACTGATTTGTTTTGGTGATAGACCCCTTCCGTTGCACCTCCCAGGTAGGGTGTTGTCTAGACAAGACAGCAAGATGGATATGCATGATATTTGAACCAGGAGCCAGGGCTTTTTTTTTTGTTTTGGAGCACTCTTGTTTCCAGAGGCGTTTTTGGCCTAACCCTTAAATCCAGAGTGGCTGGCGAGCCTTGCTCTTAGATGTCAGTGTAACACTGGCTTCCTGTTTCAAAACCCTGAGGCCTCAGAGTAACTTTCATCCGTAACCCTGATGGTTACTCATTGGTTATTGTTGCTGTTGGTTTGTCAGAAATGTTTAATTTTTAAACTACACATAAACGTTGTACACAATGACCTACTCTACTACCACAGGCTCACTCATCGTCTGCCACATCAGCCTCCTGTTCGTCGTCCGAACTGGCCTCTGGCTTGCCCTTGTCATTGGCTGGTTGGAAGGGTGCAGGGGATTTTGTAGGCCGCCTCTTCTTCTGCTTGCGCCAGATGTCCACGACATCTGGCCACTCCACGTTGTAATCGAGCATGTGGATGCTCATGAGTTCGGTGAGCCGCGTGTCGTTGAGAGCCGTGCGCTGCCAGCTCTTGATGATGTTCTGGCGTGAAAAACCACGCTCACATTCGACGGTGCTGAGTGGCAGGACGGCCAACGCCTGCCACAGAGTCATGATGTTGGGGTAAGTTCGCCGCCAGTCGCGTGAGCTCATCATGTTTGTTAGCGCCGGGTAGAAGTCCTCGTCCTCGTGGTGCGTCCTCATGACGTGGCAGAAAGTTTTCAGCTCAAGTTCGGCTGCCCGCAATTCGAATCCTGCCAAAACAGAGCGCGCAGCACAGGGTTTTTGGGGTACGGCAATGTTATTTACAGATTGACGTTTGGCAATATTACAGGGATAGCACACACACACGATCGAAATTATATACACATACCTGGCAGCTGGTGGTTGAACAGTTGCGAGTTCTCGCGAAGCCACGTGGCACAACGTCTCACACGCGTGTCCGGATTCGCTAGCCACTTGTCCACCCTGAAAAGCTTCATGCCGCCCATTCGACGAAGATCTCGCATGCGGTGCTTCAGGTTGAGCACGACCTCGCGGGCGAAGGCCTTGCCCAACTTCACGCAATCTGCTAGCGTCCCGCCGAACTTGTGCTTTTTGTCCGGCAGCTCGCTGAGCTCGAAGGTGTGCTTGACGGGTCTCCCGCTTGCGTCCACACCGTCCACCTTCACCTTCTTGTCTCCTTTCTTGACACGTGCCATGAATGGAGACAAGTTGGGGCTCAGCCCCGCCCCGAAACCACCATCGTAGTCGATGTAGCGGTGCTCGATGAGGGACACCACATGGTCGACCTCCTCTGTCATTTGCGTCACCTCCACCTGACACACAGACAAGCGCGGAAAGGGGTTTGTTAATATGTGAGGCTAAAAGAATTTTAAACACGGCTAAACGCGTGTAACAACAATACTTAAAGGCACGGTTTACCTTGCGTCGTTGGAAAAACCGGTTCAGGGAGTTCAACTCCTCCAAAATGTCTGCCAGCAAAAACAGACAGAAGTGGAATTTCAGCGTCTTCACAACCGACGCGATCTTGTGCTCGTACTCCAGAAAGAGCACGCTTGCCGACCCCAAAATCTTCACAAGCCGCATCGGCACGGGAGAGCCAGCGCACGTCGAACAGTCCCTGGTGCTCGAGGTTGGTGCTGTGGATCACGATCTGGAGCTCTTTGAACCGCTCGTACCAAGGCGTGGATCTCCCCACGATCTCGCCCAATGCACGGATGGCCTTGTCTACCATCCGGAAATCTTGGAACTGCTCGGCTTCGGCCGTCTCCTTCACAGCAAGTGCTTCGCTGCAAGCAAAAGTGGGGAGAGCAAAATAGGATTGTTACATGACTTCAAAATTCGAATTACGTAAAACCGGTCATTATGAATTAACAGCTACGACAAACGTACCGATGCGCAATGCAGTAGCAGCCGACAAGATGGGGGACGTGGATACGCAGTCGCATGACAAGGCCAGACGTGCCCCCGATCATCACTGCCGCGCCGTCCGTGGACATTCCGGAAATCTTCTTCAAGTCGACGCCCACCGTCTCGAGATGCTGAAGCAGTGCGCCCATCGGCGATGCCACGTCACATTGTTGCACGGTTAGTAACGCGAGGAACTCGGTTACAACCACGACTTCGGCCCCGAGGTGTCCAGCTCCACTAAGTCCTTGATGTGCTGGAACATATCATTGTTGACCGACTGCAAAATCAAGTCGTACAGCACCGCGCTCTTCTCAATCCACCGATCGCGGGCATCTCCTTCCTCGGGTATCTTCTCCTCTCCCATCGCAATCTTCAGCAGCTTGTAGCGCTTGAAAGCACTCCGCATCCGCCCGCTCCATTCCTCATAGTTGGAGCCGTCCAAAGCCTCGATCTTGGACGGTGGCGGTTCACTCTTCTTCTCAGCTGCTTCTCCACTCATCTCCTCTGCTCCCAATCAGAGGTTTCAGCTCCCCCCTTTGCTGTCCACACCGACGTCCCACACAATTTCCACAAGTGTCGGCGCCAACGAAATTTCGGCAGAGTTTCCCCTTAGCGGAAGTCACATGCAACCTCTAGAACACCACTTAGGCACGCCCACAGGCCATGGTGGGTCTAAGAGGGTCTTCACACTTCAGTAGACTCCCCACAAAGTCCTCAATCAGCTCTGATACCACTTGTTAGAGATTAAGGACGGAGTCTATGAAGATTAGGTGCCCAAATATCACAAAATCGTTGGACTTAAAATTCTGGACAGAAACCACGGTTTCACAAGAAACGTCGTCGACGAAAAGTGCACCGTTAGAATTGTTTCAAACTCGAGATGTTGTAGTCCTTGACCGTGGCTACCATTCCCAATTTGAATCGTATCAAAAGGTGGAGTATATATCGAGTTATGCTTTTCGGCGCACTAGGGGGTATGCTGCCATAGAACTTTTGACTCAATCACAAATTGTTCTCACAAGCTCACAAGTGATACACACACAAGAGTTAGAGTAGCACTAAACCAGGTAGGAGGGAAGAGGAGGACGAGAGGGAAGGTCCCAAGGGAGTCCCCAACCAAGGAAACCCCATATCACATCAAATCCCCTCCCTATGGCAACCCCACTTTGACATTTGTCACTTTCCAACCCATGCCATCCACCTCAACCCACTTGGCCACACTTGCCAACCTGGTTTGGCTTCTCCCAACCACATGGCAGCAATCTACAGTGATGGGTTCGAATTCCCAACCCCCAAAAAAAGTGTGTACCCCATAAAAGTCAACCCCACAACTTCCCATAGTCGCCACAACCGAAGTACAGAAAGCATACGAACTCCAACGTTCGTAACTTTCTTGATATTGCTCCGATCGCGACGATTCTTGGTTCGTCGGGAAGCTCTTGAGCAGATGAGTCACTTCAGGTATCTACTCATGCCAAATAACATTCGCACACACTCAGGAAATCCAAACCGCGCAAAAACACAAATTCTTGCACACGCTCACACCACGCATGCAAAGCACGAACATTTGATGGGAGGCAGACAGACGTGAATGCATATGATTGCATCACACAACACACGTAACCTGGTTTGGTGCTATAACTATAATAAAATATAGGAATGCACCTAACCTAGGAAATCAAGCATAACTATGCATGATAAAATAAACCCAAGCTAGAAATAGCATAATAAAGTCCAGGCAAGCTAGCAAAGCCAGCATAAGCCATCGTACTCTCACACGTCCCCCCCTCAAAGCTGGGTGGCGTGAGATACACCCTGCTTGACAAGATAGTCCTTGAGAGCACGGTTGCCCATATCAGCTTCTGGTACCCGACTCTCCTCGGTGGGGTCGTATCCTTTCCAGCGTATCAGGAACTCGAGGGTCTTGCCGCCGCGGCACCGATGAGTGAGAACGCGCTCGATCTCGTACTCTGGTTCATCTTGTACGGTGTTGCTCACCAGGTTCGTAGAGAACGAGGGAACGTGGAGACCTGACAGCTCACCAGACGGGACCGCCGGGCACGGAAGCACAGTCGTGGCTCGTGCAAGCACTGGGCCCCCAGAGGGGTCAGCCAGTGAGACAGGGACAGGTGCAGGGAGGGGAGTGACTGTGGTACTGTCACGAAAGAAACAGCAGGGAGCACCAGAGTCAAGTGTAAAGGTGTGCAAGGGAGAGCAGACTCACTAGCACCTAGAGCTGCAGGCGCTATACCTGGGGCTATACCGGGGTCAGGTGGCACACACAAGTAGCAATGTGAGGATCTTAGGATCGAGCTCAGAAAAGAGAATGTGAATTGAATGATCACCTGGGTACAACACGAGGCTATATATAGGCTCGACACAAGGCAGGTAACCCAGGTGTTACGTGAATGTTCCAAGGATCGCGAAGCGTCCCGAACAGAACCTTCCCGAACTCGGTAGAAAGCAATTCGGTGGTAGGTACACGTAACCTGGTTCGGTGCCTATAACTATAATAACTATAGTAAAGCAACGAACCTAGGAAATCAAGCAATTCATGCATGCAGAAAATAAACCTAAGCTAGAAATAGCGTAAGGAAATAATAGCAAGCATGAATAACAAGCATAAGCCGTCGTACTCTCACACGTCCCCCCCTCAAAGCTGGGTGGCGTGAGATACACCCTGCTTGACAAGATAGTCCTTGAGAGCACGGCGTGCGTTGCCCATATCAGCTTCTGCAACCCAACTGTCCTCAGTGGGGTAATATCCTTTCCAGCATATCAGGAACTCGAGGGTCTTGCCGCCGCGACGCCGATGAGTGAGGACACGCTCGATCTCGTACTCTGGTTCATCCTGTACAAGAACAGGTGGTGGTGGCGGTAGCTGCCGTCCCTGGAACTGTTGGTTGGGGTCCTTGTAGGGCTTCAGTAGCTGAACATGGAAAGCATTGTGAAGCTTCCACATATCTGGTAAGCGGAATGTAACTGGTGTCACATGTGC